CCATGAGCAGAGAGAACCATTCTCTCTGCCAATTTTATTTAGTAAGGGAAATTCTACTGCACAGAGGTGAGAAGCCTGAGAAGATAACCTAAGAACCAGAGAAGTAAGAGGGTGTACAGGGAAATGCAGGTCAGGGTTAGCTCTTGGCTGTGAGGGCCGAGGCACAAGAGGTACCATGGACTCAGAGGACTGTGCCCAGGTGAAGTTTGGCTGAGGACTCTGCTCTGTTGGGCAGAGGACCCAGGGCCTTTTCTGGTCAGTGCCAGGGCAATCCTTGGGGTACAGCAAACCTAGCTTTTGGTGGGGGTGTCTCATGGCTAAGCCAGGGGAGCAGGAGATGAGCACCCAGCTGGCTTTAAATAGCACTCCTTCCCAACCCAGAGTGCTCGTCCAAACTGCACCAATGGACAATGGTGGGGAGAGGTGCCAGGAGCTCTGACTATCCCTGGGCAGCCCCTTCTGCCCGGCCTGTGGCCACAGAATGTGCACTTGCTCGGTAAAGATGTATTTCTTTTAGTATTTTTGATCCACCCCTGGTTGCATCTGTGGATCTGGACCCCAGAGACAGAGGGCCAACATAATCCACCCTTACGGGACTACTATGGGTGAACATGACAGTAGAGGCAGCATGGTGGGAAAAGGCCGAGCATGTGTAAGTTGAAGCCTTCCTTAAATCTCACATGGGAAGAGTGACACCGGAGACAGGCTGCTCGACCCTTCCTCTCTCGTCTTTGGTGACCCCCCACTTCCCTCCAAACTGGTCAGATGAGGAGCCATGAGGGGTGTAGGGCTGCAGAGGTAGAACTATGCAACTCCAGCACTGTCATCCCAGAGGCCTCTTTCCACCAGAAGTGGCTGCTTACTCTTTACCTCCAATCTGCTGGCCACATCCTCAGTGCTTGCCACCCCCAGGAGACAAGGACAGGAAACTTTCTATCACTGACAGTCAGCCTTCTGCACTGTAGTCTGGTCTCAACCTCACCCCGCCCCCAGGGGCACAGACTCAGGGAGCTGGAGAGAGAGAGATCATGCATGACTGTCTATTCTGCATCGCTTCCCAGTCCCAGATGTTGTCAATCAGGCAGATGGTTTCCTTTCCATCCTCTCTTTTGTGATGTTGTTCATTCCCCCAGTAAAATGTCTGCATTTTACACAGCACTGCAGTTTGTAAAGATGGCCACCTCCTCCCTTCTTGTCTCCCTACCCCTTCCAAAGTTGTATAGCAGCTTCTCTATCAAAGGCTGGAGTCTGCATTTCATCTCTTGAACATGGCTTTGGCCAATATAGCACGGCATTTTTAAGGCCAAGCCTCCAGAATCCTGCATGTTCCCCCTCCTGGAGTCTTCTGTTTACATGGACGAGCTCAGACTGGCCTGTTGGAGGAGAAGACATGGAGGACAGAGGTCAGCCTCTGAACCTATCCTCTTATCAGTGCCCAGCTAGGCTGGCAGAGACTGAGGAAGCCAAAGGCACCTCAGCCAGCTCCACTAGACCAATTGAGTCCAGACCAAACCACTAACTGTCAGGAATCAGCAGGAACTAAATCAATGGCTGTTAGTTTATGCTACAGGTTGAGCATCCCTAACATGAAGACCCAAAACTTTTTGGAACATTTCACAGTTCAGATTTTCATACTAGGGATGGTCAGTGGTTAAAGTTTGTACAAATATTCCAAAATCCAAAGTCTGCAACCCTTCTGATCCTAAACATTTCAGAAAAGGAATACTCAATCTGTGCTCATATCTTGGGTAGTTTATAAGATGACAAAGCAAACTAACAGATGAGGCAATAAAAAATACAATTAAAGAATGAAACTTGCCTAACATTTTACATGAATTTATCTATCTGTCTGGCTGCTACCTCCTTTAACACTGGATCTCTACAGCTCCTGGGTATAGGGTTGATCACGGGATGTTCCAGACAGTGTAGATAGGTTTAATGACAGTTCTCAAGTAGCCGTGAAAATATGCACACACACCACTAAAGTCAAGGTAGACATGCCACAGCTCCTATGAGCAAAGGCTGACTGAAAGCTACATGTTTTGTATTTCCACAACTCCCAGCTATTTCCATTTGTTATAACAGGAAACCTGAAATTAACCTAATTTGTAAAGTAAGGTTTATTTTGCCTCATGGTTCTGGAAGTCCAAGTGCACAGCACCAGCATTTACTCAGCTTGGCTGAGAGCCTCATGGTGGAAAGGCAAGCAGGTGTGTGTGGGAGGGAAGGGGAACCTGCAGACTCCATTCATAACCACCCACTCCTGTGGTGACCAATCCAGTCCCTGGAGAGCAAGAACTGAGGAAAGCAGGAATCCATTCACAAAGGCCCTGTTCTAACAACCAGACACCTCTTAAAGGCCCCAATACCACTCAATGTTACACTGTAGGTCTAAGCCTCAACAAGACTTTTCACAGGGAAAATCATCGTACATACGAAAGCCAGTCCTCCAATGATGTATATCTGAACTTTTTCACCTTGAAAATAGTCCCCAATTGGATAATAACCCAATGAAATATAGTGTCCCAGGCCACACAGCAGTTTCTCTTATTGTTTGGTTTACAGCTGCATTTAGCAGACGTTATTTATTCATACAGTCAAACACAAAGATGTTTTTTGGAACAAGAAAGACAGAGGATATGAGAAAGAAATCTCTGGCTTTGTCAAAGTGAATTAAAATGGGGGCCAGGTCTACAGAATCCCCCAGCAGACAATGAGATAGGCTGCATAAGACACATAAGTATGTCTTGATTTGCTAAAATATGTGGAAATTAACTTGAGCACATATTCCTAATGCGATAAACTGAATAAAGCAATGGTATGACTATGACCAAATATTTTCTTTGCTTTATTTTTGTGTCCATCCTATATAACTCACCTTTCTCTCTTTTGGTGGAACTCTAGCACCGCTTCTGCTTTAGAGCTGTGTAATTCGTGAATCATTGATTTCTCATATAACTCTAAAATTTCATTGTGCCTAAATTTACTTTTAAGAGTCTCAAATGACAAACTCTAAACACTAGGACTTTAGGACTGTACCTAGAACTACGTACTTAGTCAGTCTATCATCATCACTGTCAAGCAAATGTGGATTTAGTGCTCTTTGGTACGTATTTAACCAATACTTGTCACTGCCCTACCACAGCTCAAGGTCTTTGCCAGAAGAAATGAGAGGAGGCATATGAGAGACAGACCAATCCCTGACCTTCACAAGGTCAAGAAAGGGATGAAAACACTGGCCAGAGAGTCATATGAAAACCTTTACGCGCAAGAAAGAAGCATATTCTTAACAGAAGCCGAGACCACAGGATCTAAGCTTGGCGGGGGTGATCCAAATGACTTACTTCTCCAGAAGACTCTGTGTTCAGGCCAGGATGGGAAACATTTAACAAAGGCCCACATTCAAGAAACAGTAATAACATATTATGCAAAGCTGGTTCTGTAAACTCTTTTTCTCTTGTCCTCCAAAACAGTTTGCTCTTGGAGAATCATTGTGTCCTGGAGATAGCTGGGGCCCCTGCTCCCCGCCCAGTAGGAACATGTGGTTGGAAAAGTGATAAGGCTCACAAACCTGACATCAGGCAGCCCTGGGGTTAGATCCTGGCACCAACTCACCAGCTGTGTAGCTGTGAATCACTCACCTTTGTTTTCTTATTCATAAATGAGTGCAATGATGTCTTCCTTAAGTGGTGCTCATTGCTGTGGGTTTGAAGGAGCAGCCCAAAATGACAGTGTTTATGTTCCTTTTGCAGAAATGGATCACTGGGACAGTTGGTCTCAGCTCAGCTTGCATTGAGGGACATCTTACAAGGCTGGGTGCTGGCACTGGGCTCCTGAAGTTTTACTCACACACCAGTGGGCAGCAGCTGGACCACCCCCACATGGCCTCCCTAAAGAGCCTGGTGGCTGTGTCTCAGGGCCACATAGCCCAAGACAATGCCATGTCACTTTTGCTGATCTAGTCTTGGAAGTCACTCAGTCTCACTTCTGCCATCCTCTCTGTCAAGGCAGTCCCACAGGTCTGCCCAGATTCAAGAGAAGGAAAAGCAGACCTCCTCACTGCACGGGGCACAGCAGGGCTCTGGGACAGCTGGAAAACCAGGGTGGTCATTTTTGTAGAATATCATTGGCCACTGTGATTTGGATTGATACCTCTTTGATGCCAATTTCTTTTCAAGGGGAAATTTATAATTCTATTAAAAAATTGATGAGAAGAGGGAACAGGGACAAAGTAGGGGGAGACATCTGAGAGGAGAAAGTAGAATGGACCAGTTACTGTTGGAGAAGGAAGGCTATGTCCTTTCTCAGTAGTTGATGGGCTCTTTGTGCTCCCTGGTGGCACCATCTCTAGGGTGGGACAACAGCAGTGTCTACTTCACACTATGAGTGTGAGAACTCAGTGAATTAATCCACGTGTCTTACTTTTCTCATTGCTGATACAAAATATCCCTCAGCCATAACTGATGGGAGGAAGGGTTGCTATGGCTTACATTTTGGGCCATAGTTAGCTGGCTGCAAGACAGGATGATACAGAAGAAGGGCTCAGTGGTGGAAAGATGCTCACAGCATGGTGAACAGGAAGCAGAGAGTGAACGGAGGAGCCGGAAAGGGAGGCAAATCTTTCTGGGTTACACGCCCAGTGACCTAACTCTTCCAACCAGACTCCAGCCGCTAACAGCAAGTCATTTATAAGCCCCATAATGCAATCATCTTTCCAAAGTTCAGCCTATGACAGCATAAGGCTTTGGGAGGACTTCTGTAAACCACAACACCATGAAGGTCCTGATGCCATACGTGACTGGTTCTACTTGATGCTCTCAGAGTCCCTAGTGCATCCTGGTCCCAGGGTGGGCCTGCTACTACTGCATCATGAGCAAAACCCTGGAAATACCTGGAAACACCTTCCACAGCAATGCAGCAAAGCTGTGCATACACTGTCCCCCGTCACTACCATGAACAGGCTGCCACATGCTGGGCTTTCTAATGTCATGGTCACCTACCCCTCAGACCAGCATCTCTTCTCTCCTGCTTCAGTTCAGCCCCAACCTCTGCAGCATTCTGAAGGTCTTGCTCATCTCATCTTTCCTGGTAGATGTTCAGAAGTCCAGACCTCTTATCTCCATCTACAACACAAGAATCCACCATTTAGAGTTTGTACGCCTTTTTAAAAGACCATGAACAGCCACACAGACAACTTCCTCTAGCTTGCCTCAGAGGATGTGTTGTTTTCATAACAATTCCTGTCTCTACTCCTGTGACAGGCTTCACACTTGGTCTCTGCCTTCCCCACCACCCCCTCCTACACTCCATGAAGGTGCCACACACATCCCCTCCTTCAAGTCTAGGCCCAAGTGAGATTTCTGGCCTGGAATATCCTCCCTGCCTTTCTGGTTATCCAGAAGATTATTGACAAGTTATTGAGACATTACCCCAGGCCTGGCTGAAACACATTTCAGCTTGAGTCCTAGATGAATCTCAGATAAATTCCTTAACTGGAGATCCCCCTGTATAAAACAGGGTGATGATAAAAACAGTTATAACCTACCTACCAGCAGAGACTATGACCCCATTCAAAGGCTAGTTCTAAAGACAAGAAAAAGAATGCATGGAATGCATTGTTTTACTTCAGGCTACTCAGTAAATGCTCAGTAAGTATCTTCAAGTACCACTGAGGCAGGAAGACAGGGCATGGCTAAAACTGGCTGGGACAGTAGGCTTGAGAAAAGCCCCCTACACATGCATAGAACCATTCCCAAAGCCCTGTAGGTTGACTTCTTGCGTGAACTCCAGCAGGGTTTTGATAAGATGAGCTCCATCACCATCCTCAGTGGAGGAAAGATAGCCTCTTTAATAAATGGTGTTGGAAAAACTGGATATCAACCTGCCACAGATTAAAATTAGATCCTTATCTTTCGCCATGCACTAAATTAAAATCCAAATGGATTAAAGATCTAAATATTAAAACAGAAACATTAAACTTGCTGGAAGGTAAGTTAGGCAGAACTCTGGAAGACATTGGTATAGGAAAAGACTTTATGAACAAATCCTCAGTAGCACGGGAACTAGCAGAAAGAATCAACAACTGGGATCT